ACACACACACACACACACACACACACACACACACACACACACACACAAAGCTCTGCTCTGAAAGCGACACGTGGCTGAAAACACTGAAGAAGTTTAATTAGGCTCGAGACAAAGTACAAGTTTCCAGTCAGGAAGAGAACTTGTCTGCAGACAGACGGCAGCTTCTTCTAAAACCTCTCTCGCCACCGGATTCTTCTAAACTGTGACTCAGATGACTCACAGCCGTGACTAATTTTTTAGGAAGCTCTGCGTAATTATGTTTTATGTGATGCATTTTCTGACCCCCTCCTCAGTAAAACATATGAAGACCTTGTTCTGATGCCACAAAGACGGAGTCTGTTGTCACAGCAGTGACCCTGGCGTGGCCCTTTACACTGAACTGGTTTCACATTTATTCTTCCTCTAACCAGACTGGCATGATATTTGTGAAAGTGACACACACACACACACACACACACACACACACACACACACACACACAGCAACTTTGGCCTCTCCGGTCTGACTGTAGCCCGTGGCAAAGAGACTTGATTGAGGCCTTTGATGGGCACTAACACACCGTGGAGAGGCAGCTTTGTTTGGGAACAGAAACGAACATGAATCGGAGGCGGAACAGGAAGGAGAGGGGCCCACAAGCTGATCTTATTTAATTTCACATAAAAGAGTCATTCCATCTCCACCAGGCCTGTTCACCACCTCCGAGAATGAAAACGCAGTCTGAGGAGCAGGAGGCTCTCTCTCTCTGTCTCTTTGTGCTTGCGTGTGTGTGCGTGCACGCACAGTCGTGCACAACAGATGTTTGATGAGCAGTTTTAAAAACTTGTTGCATCTTCCGTTACACCGACAGGGAACAAAATGAACGTTTGTCCAGTCGGTCCTGGAGGATTTTAATCCGCTGGTAAAAGAAAAAACAACTTTTAATTTTCTTTTCCAGAGTCGGAGCTGAACTCTGCTCCACTGCTTGACCTTTGTGACGTGCACGGCACACATCTGCACTGCATCTAGTCTTGTGTTTCTTAAGCACTGCATCCATGGTGCTTGATTAATTCGATGTCATGTATTGTGTGTCTCTTAAATCTCACAACGTTGTTGTTTACGTGATATATTTGTATTTTCGGTCTTGGTGCTGAGCTGCTGCGACTCCGTGCTCAGAGTCTCATCCTGAGGCCACAGGTTTGGACACAAGTTGCATCAGGAAAGCTATCGGCTGTGAAGCAATTATCAAATCTGTCAGCAAAATTTGTGGCTGCGGCAACGCCTGAAGAAAGGAGGAGGCAAATTATCATTAATGTTATTGATTTTTATTCTCATGACAATAATCCTCATCTCAGCAACAGGTTTTTTAATAAACTCTCCTTTGGATTTTATTTGTGTCCGTAATTTGTCAACTCAAGGTGACGTATGCATATCAGATGCTTTTTTTCTGGATGTCACTGTTTCAACGCCGCTGGTGTTTGTACGTAATTTGGGAACATTTCTCACATCCACAAAGTTTTGTTTGTTTCAGACATCGCAGTTTTTTTTCTTTCTTCATTACTCAAAAGATGAAGATGAAGTTTCCTGACAGTTATCATCATTTACTATCGTCTGATTATTTCCTGTATTGCTCACAGAAATCATCCATCCATCCATCCATCCATCCATCCATCCATCCATCCATCCATCCATCCATCCACCCACCCACCGATCCATCCATCCATCCATCCACCCACCCACCCATCCATCCATCCATCCATCCATCCATCCATCCATCCATCCATCCATCCATCCATCCATCCATCCACCCACCCACCCATCCATCCATCCATCCATCCATCCATCCATCATCCTCCTCTTGTTCTGGACTCAGGTCTCGGGGCAGCATCTTGAGCAGGGAGGTCCGGACGTCTCTCTCCACAGCCTCTTCCAGCTCTTCTGGGAGGACTCCAAGTTGTTTCCAGGCCAACTGAGAGATGTAGTGGTCCTGAAAAGATGGTGGTCAATCAACTGATGGATAAAAATGTATTTGGGTTTTATCTGTTTTTCTCCCATGTTCTGTTTTTCCCTGTGTGCA